GGGGTGGTCCCGGTAGGACGACCGAAGTAGCCAGGACAACGATGGATGTAATCGACACCGTAACACGCCTGAACCACGGATCAGGTAAAGCCACTCGCACACTCGGCTGGATGGGGATACTTTTTTGGTCAGCGGCTGCAGGCGAGCGCGCCAGCGGCGAGTCCAGTCAGAGCGGGGCGCCCAAAAACGAAGCTGGTTGGGGATACGCGAAGCGTCAACAATTCCAACTGAGCCAATCACCCGACATCAGTACGACAATTCATGGTGGAGAGACAATTATGAAACAGATAAATTATTGTTGCATGCGGAAGGGAAACCGCGTGGTGTCAGCACACGGACTGCGCGCGCGAGCGATGAACATGTCCGCCAGGTTCCCAAGTACAAGCAACCGATTAGCCATACATCCTACTACCTTCCGCGTTTATCCGAAGCCAAGGTTTCCGCATTGCCCCTCGATGTTTTTCCCTTCTAGCAGGCAGAGTCACGCGATGCGAGGAGACTCCAAGAAAGGCAAGGGTGAATGACGCATGGACTGCATGGGTCGCAGAGATTACATTTTGCCAGGCGCTATCCGCGAAAGAGCGATAACTTCAACAAGTCAGTCAGGGCGCGTGGCGATTCGGCAAAATCGTCGAACCGGTAATCTCAGACAGAAAGGTGTGCGCTCAAGCAGCGGAGGATTGACAGCGGATATGGAGACGAGACAAGGTGGTGGCTGGCTACGATTGGATATGGAGATGCAGAAAGGGAGCGAGAGGGTGCGCGGATGAGAGAGGAGGAGGTCAACGAGGAGCACGACGAGGAGGAGGAGGAAGAGGAAAGGAGGAACACGTTGAGGAGGACGAACCAGAACGAGGAGGAACGGAGGAGGAAGGCGGATGAGGATGATGCTGCTGAAGGGGATGGAATTGAAAGAGATACGAGGATGGGGAGGGCGGCTTGTGATGGAATTCAGATGGTTATGATGATGATGACAATGATGGCAGTGATGACGATGACGATGACGATGACAAGGACGACGACGATGATGCTGCTGCTTATAATGCTGGTGATGGTGATGGTGATGGCGATAATGATGCTGATGCTGATGCCGATGATGGCAATGTGAATGATGATGGCGCTGAAAGATGATGGTGACGATGAAGATTGGTATAAATATTCGTATTCATATGATGCTGATAATGCTGCTGCTGCTGATGATGATGATGATGATGATGATGCTGCTGATAATGATGGTGCTGATACTGATGATGTTGCTGCTGGTGATGCTGATGATGCCGATACTGATGCTGATGATGACGACGACGAGGGGGAGCATCACGATGACGATGACGAGCGCAGGGCCATGGCATTTCTCGAATGTTAACCGGCTCACATGGATGATGGCGAGAAGGGAATGAGGGGAGGAGGGGGGCGAGGGGCAGTGGAAGAAGAGGACGACAAGGGGAAAGCGGAGAAGGATGAGAAAGAGGAAGGCGCGGAGAAGGATGACGAGGAGGAGCAAAACAAGTCGGAGGAAGAGAGGACAAGGGCGGAGAGGAGGAGGATGTGAAGCAGCCGATGGAGCAGGACACACATGATGATGACGATGGAGACGCGGTGGAGTCGGAGGATAGGCAGAAGGGTGTGTGGACTGGAGGAGGGACAGGATGCTAATGATGATGCGAATGATGACGACAATTATGACAACGACGACGACGCCGATGGTGATGATGGTGATGATGATGCTGCTGCTGCTGCTGATGATGATGCTGATGATGGTATGATGAGAATGCTGCTGCTGCTGATGATGGCGGTGATGGTGGTGGATGATGGTGATGATGGTGATGATGGTGAGGATGAGCGCGCGGAGTTTGATCAGCTGTGCGTGTGGTGCCTCGCGCGTGCAACTTCTGCTGTGGCTACCGGATCATGCAGAGCAGTTGGGTGCACTCCCTCCCGGCCTGCGATCGCTGCCACCGTGCAGAGTGAGGCGGGAGTCGACATGTGTAGCATCAACGGGCAGCTTCCGCCGATACGACTGCAGAGCTGGCGAAGACCCACAGCAGGAGCGTCATCAATTTGGGGAGGAGACGGATGGGCGAGGGGAGAACGAGGGCAGAGGAGGGGGAAGGAGATAGCGCAGCGCACCCGAGGTACCCGCCGCACTGGGGGTCTCGCCCCCGCTTTTGCTGCCCGCCGTGCCTACCAGGGATCGTCGACGGTGTCCAGGCCCCTGTGCCCCCACTCGGCCACGGTCAGGAACTTTGGCTTGGCGTGTCGCGGCGGCGGTCCCAGCAGCACGCCATGCCTCGCAACCCGATCATGTGTTGCTCCGCTCCGCTGGGAGGGAGGCCGGAAAGGCTCGGTGCGTTGACGCCTGTGGACTGGGACGTGATTAGCGTGTCACACCGAAACATGATAAACCAAAACTGGTGGCGCGACACGCCCAGCAAACGTTCCCGACCGCACGGACTGTCAGCTCTGCCATCCGTGCACGCCTGGCCCGCAGCGCCTGCGCATTTGAGGGCGGGCGAACCCTCGACTTGCTCTTCGGCTTCGTCTCATGTTGGATCAGAGTGCTGGTCTTGTGACACTCAGAAAGGTGGAGAGCCACAACTGGGAGTGCTTGGACGAGCGCCCAGATCATCTGGAAGAGAGTGGCACCGGTGGCACTGTACCTAAAAGAGTAATCAACGGCATAAGCGAAAACTTTCGACGGCCTGCGCGGATTCCTTGGATCTGCGCTGGACCCCCCTCCTTGTCGCGCCATCTGGGATGCCTGGGACCTCCCGGCCGCTCCACAAGCCGACCCCGCCGCCGTGAAGGAGCCGCCTGGACCGCCCGCCTCGTGCATCGCATGGCCGAGCACGCGGGGCGAGGCCGCGGGCATGGTGTGCTGGTCTCTGGGTGGGGACGCGCGGGCTCGGCGATGGACGCGGCGCCCTGCACACGCAGACATCCGACGTCGTTCTTCTTTAGTACGAACCTCGAACCTCAGAGGTCTCGACCCATGCCCCGGGACTGGTTTTTCATTCCGAGTGGTCTTCTGACGGCCCGGGGGCCCCGCTGAGGGCCCCCAGAGGCGGCAAAACTCGAAAAGCCTCTCGTCGTGTGTTTTTTTCCATGACTCGCTTGCACTGGGCCCCGCCGTCGCCGGCCCCTTGGTCCAGCAGCCGCCGCGGGCCCGCCGGTGGGGCTGGCCGCGCCACGCTCTCGGGGCGTGACCCGTCCCTCTGAGCAGATCGCTCCCTCCGCCCCCTCTTTCGGCCGCGCCCTCCTCCTGCTCCCCCTCGTGTACTGGGTGGCACACTTCGCCACAGCGGCACCCCCGCTTAGGCCTTCCCGCTGGGGCAGACTTCCCCTGCCTCGCCGCCGACGCAAACAAATGTTTCCCGTAACTCTCGGGGATCTTCTGACCCGGGTCTATCCAGACCCGGGTCAGTCAGGCCTTGCAGAAGCCTGCAAACTCCTGCAAGACCCTGCACCCAAACCCGGGTCAATGCGAGGGATCCTGCAGAATCCTGCACCCAAGCCCCTGTCAGTGCGACCCTGTCCCTGCAGGATCCTGCAAGATCCGGCGCTCTGGCTGACCCCCGTTTGCACTGACCCACGTCTCTTGAGCCTCCGCGCCCGCCGCTTCCCGGCGAAGGGGGGCGTCCACCTCGCCGGTCCAGGCGGCTCCACCTCGCCAGTCCACGCGGGCCCGAGGAGCCGTTGGCGCGGTCCACCCGCCGCCTCCGGGCGGGAACGTGGAGCATGACGATGCTGCTGATAATGCTCATGATGATGCTAATGCTGATGCCGAGGAAGGGGGGAGAAGAACAGGAGAGGAGCATGAGGATTATCTGGAGGACGATCCGGAGAATTACGGGGTGGAGGAGCACGATACGGACCACGAGGAGGGGCGGGAGGGGAGGGGCAGGATCACGAGGAGGCGGAGGACGAGGAGAAGAGAAGGAGGAGGAGGAGGAGGAGGAGGAGGAGGAGGAGCAGGAGAAGTGGGGGCACGAGGAAATGTTGGCCGAGAGCTCGAGGAGGAGGACGAGAAGGCGAAGGATCGGAAGGGGTCGGCATGAGGAGGCACTCGCGCTGGTCAGCTACAATCGGCTCTTGGACGTGTGGCCCGTGTTCCAACAAAAGGGCGGGAACGCTGGAGAACAGAGGCGGCTTTGGCCGAAACGCGTCCGCACGAGTCGAGCCGCACGTGGGAGTGCGGATGACGGAGCAGGTCGCCCCTCCTCCCTGCTTCCTCCTCTGAGCCCTTCTCCCTGCTCATCGACGCCCCTCCTGAGCCTCCTCCTCCTCCGCCGCCTCCTCCTTCTCGTTCTCCTCCTCCTCCTCCTCCTCCTCGTTCTCCTCCCTCCTCCCCCCTTCTCCTCCTGCCCTCCTCCTCCTCCTCCTCCTCCTCCTCCTCCTCCTCCTCCTCTTCCTCCTGCTCCTCCTCCCCCACTTCTCCCCCCCCGTCCTTGAACTTCCAACACCCACTCATCCTCTTCCCTTCCTTCCCCCCTCCTCCTCCACCACATCCTTCATCCTCTCAACCCTACATGCTTTTCCTCCTCCTTCTCCTCCTCCTCCTCCTCTTCCTCCTCCTCCTCCTCTTCGCCCCTCCTCCTCCTCATCCTCCTCCTCCTCCTTCTCCTCCTCCTCCTTTTCCTCCTCCTCCTCCTCCTCCACCTCGGTCCTCCCTGGTCCTTCGCTTCGTCCCTCCCGTCCTCCTCCTTCTGCTCCGGCTCCTCCTCCTCCGGCGATGCCCGCCGTTGCGTGCGTCTGGTTTCACTGGCGTCTGTCAGAGACCATAGGGAGCTCCCGACGGCACTGCGACCATGACGTCGTCACTCTCACTGCTGCGTCGCCATCCTCCTCCTGACCATCCTCCTCTTCGCTTCCCTCTCCACAACTCCTCCTGCCTCCTCCTGCCTCCGGTTCCTCTCTCCCTTGCCCCTTCCCCGTCTCCTCCCTCCTCCCTCTCCCTCTCCTGCTCCTTCCCTGATACCTCGCCGCGCACAACTCTCGCTCTCCGCATCCGCCTCCGCCTCCCCCTCCACTCCTCCCGCTGCCATGCTTGCTCGCGCCCGCGTTCCTGCTCCGCCGAGAGAGCGCCCGATTGCTCAGAGGTGCAAGCTCAGGGCGACCTCAAGGAGACACGCTCCCAGGTTTCAAGAAAGCGATGCGTGCGGCCAATCTTCGCGGCCTACTCTCCGATGCAGCCGGGCAAGAGGAGGAGGAAGAGGAGGAGGAGGAGGAGAAGAAGAAGGAGAAGGAGGAGAAGGATGAGGAGGACGGGGGAGCAGGAGGTAGGCCAGGATAAGGACGAGGAGGAGGAGGAGGAGGAGGAAGAGGAGGAGCTACCCCAAAGCCGCCCCGCCCAACCGTGACGGAGAAGGATGACAACGACGACGACGCCGATGATGATGATGATGATGATGATGCTGATGATGATGATGATGATGACGATGATGATGATGATGATGATGATGATGATGATGATGATGATGATGATGATGATGTTGATGTTGATGAGGATGAGGGTGATGATGCCGATGATGATGTTGATGCTGATGCTGATGCTGATGCTGATGATGATGCTGATGCTGATGATGATGATGATCTTCTTCTTCTCAACCCGATGAGACTCCCCGTTAGCCACATCTGACAACAAGCAGCACTGCCAGGCCAACTGGAGTCACGGTCGCGAGGCCTGGAAATGCAAAGGCCCCCCGTTTTTTCAGCGGGGGGACCCTCCGCGCACTCCTAAGTGACAATGTGAGAAGAGGGACCTCTGGTCACGAAGCACTGGCCCCCAAACTGGCGCGGGAGCGGCAATAGAGGCAAGACAGCCTCCGCCGCCCACAGTCCAGCAGGGCACACCCAGACTATGATGATGATGATGATGATGATGATGATGATGATGATGATGGTGGTGGTGGTGGTGGTGATGGTGGTGGTGAGAATGATGCTGATGACGGGACAGAGCAGACGAACTTCCTGGCCGCATTAAGTGATGCGGCAATCCATCCTCGTACGTGCGTGTAGGCACTCACTTACAGGATGGGGGCCGCGCCCTGGAACGATGAGCGCCCCGTGCGCCTGCCATGCAGGCGGGACCTCCGATCTGAAAAAGAAACGTCCCTACCGTGATGTGAGTCTATTCGCGCATCTGCCTGGGTTGCATTCCATACAGCTCGAAGAAACTTTCAGCAATCGCACACGGTGGTACCAGAGCACCTCATCAGGGCATTTTCGATTGATCTCAAGTGCATCAGGCCATGAACCCATGCTGACAATGAACCGCTTCCATCCGTGCACAGGTCGCGCTCTTGAAAAACGCATGCTCACTGCGCTTCAGCCAGAAACACAATTTGAAAACTATCTGTGCTCTATCAGTGCAGCTGCTGCAAGCTCGAAGACTAGCAAACACGGCGCGAAGACAAGAACCACCATTTGAACACGGCTTGTGCTCCGTCCGTGTATCTGCTAGGAGCTTATACGAAGAAAGTGCGCGGCACTGAAGCAAGAATGCCCATTGAGAACGACTTGACCTCCGTCCGTGTTACTGTCGCATGCTGGTACGGCGAATGCGCGCCGCGCCTCGGAGGAAGACACATAATACACTGTCCGCCCTCCATATGGATAACTGTGGAATATCACACCAGGGAGGACCCCAGTCAGATGTTCGTGCAGGAACTGCGAGGGCAGCGCGCTTAACAGGGTGAGGGACAGGATGACGAATGTTGTGTGCGATGCTCTCTGCTCTGGTTATCTATGCTCTCTTCTGTCTACTCTCCGATTTCCTCTCTCTGTTCTGTGCCGGGCACCTGCCTCCTCTACATCGGCTCTCTCCGGTCCACCGGCTGCTCTCTACTCTCTACTCTACACCGCCACTACACATTCTCGCTTCTCCTCTCGAGACTCTCAACTCTGTGCTCTCTGCATGCTCCACACCGCGCTTTTTGCACTCCGCGAACTGTCCCAGGCTCTGCATTCTCTACTCCCTGTCCCCTCCCTCTCTCTCTCTATAAACATTGCTGTTGTTGTTTGTGTTCCTCTCTCTCTGTGTAATGTTACTACTCTTTAGTATCGACTCTATGCTGCCTCTGCTCTACTCAACATGTACAAGCTCCTCCACCATGGCCCCCGCAACTGCGGATATAATCAAAGGACAGTGGGGTCGTCGGCAGTCTGCGAGGCTCTGACAATTACCCTGGCGACGTACCCAACCCTTGCGCAATGCGGGGCAGAAGTACATCAGGATTGCTACAACGGGGGCGATGACGTAACATGGACGCATGCGATTTTGCGAGCAGCAATCGGAAGGCTCGCAGGCCCCCGATCAAGATATAAGGGCTACGTAATAACAAATCACCCCCGTTGGCTGTGCCATGCGCCCGTTGCACCCAACGTATCCCACAGCAACTCTTTAGAGCCCCCACGGGAAACGTGTAGGCGCAACGTTATGGCCATCGCCCGGCAAATTGTCTGTTCTACAACTCACCCCCGTTGGCTGTGTCATGCGCC